AGCGGCCTCTCGGGCGAGCCTGCGGCACTGCGCCGTTAGGCGAGGCGCGGCTGCCGCAGAGGAGGGCTGCTGCGCCAGCGAAGATGCACCGGGATGTGCTGGTGGCCGCGGCAGAGCGGAGCGAGCGGGCACCGTCTTTAAAAGCCCGCTGAGCCCCGCCCCTGGCCCGCCCACCGTGCTGCAGTGTCCCTCCTTCCCGCTCCCGCCGCAGAGCCCCTCCCCACCGCTGCAGAGAAGGGGGGCCTCTCTCGTGGGCGCCTCCCGGGGTACCGACCCCCTCTTTCCTCGCCAGATCTCTAATCCTGAACCCCACATTCTGCTGAAGAAACCCTTTCCCGTGCGATAATGCCTCAGGCAAAGATGGCAAATGCCTGAGACCCTCCCGACCCTTCCCTTGGACCACGCACAGGTCCGCAGCCCCAGAAGGTGGCTGTTAGACATAAAGCACCTCAGGGCTAGGGTTTTCGTTGTGGCACCCATTTCTTTCTACATCGTAAGTGGGTGCTGAGTCCTAGGAGTGACGACGAGTCCGAAAACGTGGACCACCAGAGCGCGGCAACCCCGAGCCCTTTACCCATGGTAACAATGAAGGAAGGACACACTTAAGGGCTAGGGAATGACCAAGTTCTGTTATCTCCTCTGGGCTAAGTGAACACAGTCATGGAAGGGCCACGACCACATAAAGCGGGCCCAAGTCACCACCATCACCAGGGTGGCACCAGGACGCTTCCTTTGCAGCAGCACGACGTGGTCGGCATGCCAGAAGCTGCCGCAGCCCCCAACTGGAGCAGCGCGGGGGACCGCTCCTTAGGAGCACAAGCCTCCTTTATTTGCGCGCAGTACCATCACAATGCAAACACCCTAGAGGTGTGGGTAAAACTACAGATTTTTTTTAAAAAATCCATAATCCTTTTTTTAAAAAGGCATCTTCGCCAAGTGCCGAGCATCGTGGTGCCTGTGTGCTGCTGGGAGCTGCACGCTGAAATTCTAACAGCTCAGGCACGAGCTAGGGACACGGCGCAGGCTGGCCCAGTGGGGGCGCTGCAGGTCTCTCTTCGGCGCCTCGTTCGCAGCAGCTCTGGCTTGGAGGCATCCAAGACCGGCCATACAGACGAGCAAGATTCGACCAGAGCACCGCAGTGGGTCAGCTGAACCTGCGGCACCTAACCTGTGGGCACCTAACCTGTGGGCATCTAACCACGCTCCCAGAGCTGGGGCCACCCAGCAGACACTGAAAGTGCCAGCACCTGAGAGAGGGTCATCAGAACGCATAGCGCGGTCCAGGGCATACTTCTTCGGGCATGGCATGAAATAAAGGGTCGTGCTGAACCTCCGCGGGCGATGCACGGGGTTATAAAGTGAGTGAAGGATGGAAGGGTGGCACTTTATACATTTTCTCCTTGATTTCAGAACATTTTCTAACAGGTCGGCCCCCTCTTTCCCAGCCTAAGATCCTCAAAGTCTGAACCCATGTTTCATTCACCTTTTGTATTCCAGATCCCGCCATGGGGTGGGCAACAAAGCAGGCCCCTAACAAATACCGCATGAATAAGTTCAAGAATTTGAGGGCGCACAGGGGAGGAAGTAATTAAGGGGAGGGAGGAAGGGGTTGTCTTGAGTGATGAATAGACATTTACCAGAGACAAAGAACATTCCAGCCCGAGGGGACGGCTTTCGCAAAGCACTGGGGGCTCCATACCGTGTAACCTTTGGTTTAAAAAAAAAAAAAAGTGTTTCCTTTGGGCGCCAGCACTGATTGGAAGGCGGGGGGAGAGGGGGACCAGAAAGAGTAGTTCATCGGAAGGAATGTGGAATTTGTCCTAAATGAAAAGCTGCAGATGTATTTAAAAACCCTCTAAGACCGCAATTTAAATTAGTACCTTTACAAGTAGAGGATTACCTACCTACATTAACTAACCACCAAACCTTTTAAAGGCCAAATTACTTAGCAAAATTTGAACTAGTGTTTTCTATAGAGTAAAGGCATTCTGATTTTAACAACCGCCCGTGCGGAAAGCTTCTGCATTATATATTTTTTCATATTTGCTGTCAATGGAACCTTTGAGCCTTACAAACAATTCCACTTTCATTCTCACTAGGCCGAAGCACCAGCATCGAAGATGAAGGCAATTTTCTAATTAATGGACTGAGTGCCCCACAAAGGATCTCATTCTGAAGGCCGGGGAGCAGTCTACCCACATGGAACAAGAGGGTCGTGGGGGCGGGCACGTTTAAGCCCCCGAGGGAAGAAAGTCAGTGAAAGCTTTGCTGATCCACAAAAGCAATCCAGCCCAGGCCCGGGGAATCCTCTCTGCTCAGGATGAAGAGGAATAACTTGGGTGGTAAAGGGCGGGATGCCGTTGAAATGGCGTGGACTACAGAACTCGGTTAGACCGAGAAAGCGGATAGCAGCTCCGACACAAAGGCAAGGAGCCGAGGAACACGCGCACTGCTGGGGACCAACTAAGGCTGGGAAAAGCTTTGCTTTCTAACGTCCCAAGGGTTAGGAAATCTTCCAACCAGGACTGACTGATTTCTAGAGGGAAGAATTTCTCCTCCACAGCGGGGAGAATCTGACCTCCGTTCTAAAAGCCCTGGGAGCACCTGAGAAAACATGAAACTTCATAAATGAAGAGTCAGCTACCGAGTTTGCCGCTGGTTCCCCCTTCCAAACAGGCACTAACTATCTTGGCGGACGTGACCCGCAGCAGAGTTCCCGGCCAGCAGCTTATCCGACATTCCCTTCACATTCCTTTTCTAACATGGGTTCACAACATAACAGCACCTCAGATTTGTGCAAAAATCAGCGTAGAAACGTCTTCGCTTACGGTCTCACAACAGCAAGCAGTAAGAAACCAGCCCGGCTTCTACCGTAGGTTCCATCATTATTTTTCTAACCCCATTTTAAGCGCTGTAATAAGAGGACAAATACAAGGATGCTTATAGACAACAGCACAGAGCCGCTTTCTAAAGCCATAGTTACAGATCTGAATAAACTAAAAAAGTGCAGAATGGGACAAACTCATTTGAACAATAACACTTGGTTAAAGAGATCTAGGGCTTTACTTGATTTTTTTTTTTAAAAAGGTTTCATTGAGTCTGTGAGAAACGGGGGTTTTTTTTGGGGGGGGGATTAGAAAAAAAACCTCCTGTGTCTGGAGTTATGGAGATATACCCAGAATAACCTAATCCTGTGCTATTTTGCTCATCAAACCCCACTATTTTATTCCGCTTTACAGAGTAAATATTAAGAGGCATTTAGACACACACTAATGTATTCCGGGTAAAAGTAAAATGCTCTGTAAATCATGCAACTCAACACAGAGCAGCTAGTATACTGAAGTTCCTACTGTGAGCGTATGTATCACCCAATGTACACCGCCCCCCATCTCCACAGGAACCGGCTAAGTGAGAATTTCCATTCACCCTGAGAAAGATTCTGCAGGTCCGGGTATCGCACGCTACCGCGGAGGAGCGGGGGCTGACCACAGAAGCGGCTGACTCCAGGGCTGGCGTTCTTTCCTCTGCCCCACACTGCCTCGCTCTTTGAAATAACTGGGCATGTTTAGTCTAAAGAAAAGGAGCCTTGTGTAGTGAGTGGAAGGAGGAAATGTGTTCACAGTCTTCAAATATTTGTGGAAGCAGCGTTAGGCATTTTATTCCATATGGCTCCAAGGAGAGCAAACGGCACAGAAACAGAAATCCATTCAGCATAAAGAATTTTTCAACAGTCCAACCCTGCTAGAGGGCTGAGTGGCTCATGACAAGCTCCTTGTCACTAGGGACTTGGCGAGCTGGCAGCAGGTATGTAAGGTCCCGGTCTTTAGCTCAATGAATGGCCTTTGAGGGTTTGTACCACTCGGTGACACAGGGAACAATCGGTCTTCCCCCAGTCACGATCCTGAGCCCCAGATTCACTTAGGAATATTAGACACATTGAGGGGTGGGAGAGAGGTTGCTATGAGTTTATTGATAATTCCTTCAGTTTGTTTTGCCCACCTCCCTGCTCGACCCAATGTATCTAATATACTCCTAAGTGATATCTTCCTCCCTTTTCAGACTCTTTTTGAGGTTAAAAAAAAAAAAATTGCAGCAAAGTGCTCCAAACATGAGTGACAGAGGAAGGAATAATATCGAAGCCAAATAAGGAAATAAGATGAACCTAAAGGACAGACAGCAGCCTTTTCCTTACACTGCAGTATTGCAGTGTACCCCTAAACAATCCTTACACACCCTTTACTCCACGCCTCCCATAATCCCAAACCCGGAACTAGCGAAGCCCTCTGTCTGCTCCGCTGCCGGTAGAGGCCATCTTAGCCACTCAAACATCAGTAGGCTTGAAAGATTCTAATTAACTAATAGGATCTTGCATTTTCACAGCTCTTTGCCCTTCTCACACACATTATCTCATTTGCTGCTCGCCACAGGCCCTCTAAGGAGCAGCTACTTTCAAGCAAGCAGGCGTTCTTTTCCCAGCAGCCTGGGAAGGAAGACTACCGCGTTCACACCACCGCTGCCTTTTTTTTTTTTTTTTTTTTTTTGCTATCTCTCACGTTAGGGTTTTCCTCCAGCTCCCATGAGCAGACCCCGGGGCAGGTGTTTGGGGTTGCCTCTTTGCTCTCAACCGTACTGGTACCTTCCTCAGCTGCCCTGCTCCTGGCCCTGCACCGGACCCCATGCACACCACCAGCAGTTCTGGCTCGGGCCCTTCGTCCCCAGCAGCCTACACTCCCCAGGCCTCGCTCTCCGCCCTTCAGCTCTTTCCATGTGTCTTCCCTCCCCCGGGCACCCACCCGACCCTACATCCGCACCCGCAGAGTCGGGCCCTCTTCAGCTTAACAGGAGAGGTGCAGGAGGGAGTCGGCTCAGCGGCCAGGAGAGTTTTGTGTTCCCTCCAGGGGAGGTGCAGCCCCAGGACTGGGGCGGGGGTGAGGGGAACCTGTCCTTGTGAGCGTGCCCACGCCCTCACGCCATGTCATTCCCCGTGGTGCCAGGACTGACGAGGTCCACCTTCCCCAGAGCAATCAGTCTCACTCCTGGGGCGGACTGCAAAGGAGAAAGTGGGACCGGCCCTCCTCCTACCTGGTTCAGATAAGACCTGTCCTACAGGACCCCCGCGATGGGGGGAGGGAGGGTGCACATGCACTTCCTGGGACCAGAGGTTTGGGCTCATCTTAGCCCAGTTCCCAGGGTCTTCTGGGCCAGGCCACTGAATACTGGGCTCTGGCTAGAGCGTCTCCACCTCGGCGCTCTAGCCCACCGCCCCCAGCCCAGCATTGCTGGCGCCTTCTTCCTGCCAGGCCGGGCGCCACCTGTTGGAAAGGGGATGAAATGGCAGGCCGCCCCTTGACACTCCCTGGCAATGGATCCCGTGGGGCAATGGGTCCTATGGGGCCTCATCTGAGTACTTTCTACGTTCGACCATTACAAGCGAAGGCCAAGGAAGCAGTGTTTCGATAGTTACTAACTATGGCGCCATCTTGGTGAGTCTTCCATCACAGTTACCCTCAAGACTCCATGTCTGCAGCTCCAACCCTAGCCTCTGACCCCACGTCTATAAAGTTAATCAAGACCTCTGTTCATCTTTAAGTAGGTAACAAACATTTCATACCCAACAAAGTCTAGGTTAAACTCATCGCCCTGTCTCCGCCCCCTTTTTCCCACACTGCAAACTGACCCATCCACGTTCTCTGCCTCCGTCGGTGTCCTGTCTTGACTACCACCAATCTTCCATGCACACGTTTCTTTTCAGTTTACCTCCCAAGTCCCTCTTGAATTTCCCTGGTACCCTTCCGTTGCTACCACGGTTTTTCTTAGCTCAGGCCTCCTCACTTTTCACCTGGGCCTTTGCTTCCCTAATTGGCTCCCAGGCCTCCACCATCACACCTTTCTAGTTCCTCGTTGGCAAACCTGCCAAAGTGATTTTTCTACAGTGAAAATCTGATGGCATCTCTTTTCTTCTTAAGATGTGTTACTGATGTTAAATCCAACCTCTTCAGATTGGCACACAAAATGCTTCATGCAAAAACCCTTCAAAATCTGGCCCTTGCCTCTCCCTCTGAAATCCTCTCTTGCCCTCCTAGTAGTCCGAGCTCCGACACTTCACAATCTGACCAACCATTACTCATCAAAAATACCAAGCAGGTTTTTTTCTCCATGCTTTCACACAGGTCCTCTGCCCTAAACAGACGTATCCTTTCCCACTGTGTCTACCTTTAAAAAAAGCCATATTCATTCATCAAAAGTCAGTTTAGTTACTGTATCTCTTGTCTGCCTTCCTAAAGAAACATCTCCCTCCTTCCACCGTGTCTCAGGCAGGCTTCCACAGATGCGCCTACCACATTCTCTTAAGATATTTGGAGATCTGCTTTGTCTCCCCTACTACATATCTGAACTCCTTAAAGCCAAGGGACCATGTTATTTATTTGTGTCTCTGCTGTTCACCCAATATTTTATAAGGATGACAAGAATGAAGAATAGCAAAACACTGTTGATCATTTTTGTACCAGTCCCTGTCTATATCTTTATATTTACCAATAAGACAACTGAGGCTTTGAAAGTCTGACAATTCCAGCCAAGATTTCAAGACTGGTAAATTGCTGGGTAGGCTTTGAATCCAATTCAGTCTAACCATGTTTATCCACTCATCAAAGAATTTAGGAGAATTGGGAGGGGAGAGTAATTTCCTAATGGTACTAGTGTTGCAGTTTGATTTCTCTCTTCAGGGGAATTCTCCAGCACAGCAATTCTACCTCCAGTGGATGGCCAGAGAGGGTTCTAACCTTAAACTGAAGGCGCAGAAGCTAAAGCTGACAGTCTTGATGACAGGCTTCATGAGAAAACAGCCCTGTTATTACTTCATAGTTTCGGATCTTAATAAATGTGATGAATATTTTTGCTAAGGGATGTCATGATTCAAAACAATTATGTCTTATTTGTTGTTGGTGGTGGTGTTTTCCCCAAAACTTGTGGATAAGTTAGAGAACAAAGATCTAAATTGAAAATCACTAGAATGTTCAAGAAGTTGCCAGAGATGGAGATACCAAGATATTGTGAGGTCTGAGTTCATGGCTGACACTAATGTGCCTGGCATCCAGGAAGCACTAGATTACCACAATTACTGTTGCCACTAAGATAACTAGCTCTCAACCCAGTGTTGGGGAAACAGAGAAGCAAAATGATAGATTATTTCGTATGGCTGTGATCAAAGTTCTAAGGGAGTATCAAGTGAGATCCCCTAGGGAACAGGGAGAGTGATAAAGAAATTAGACGGCACCCAGCGGTCTCATGATAGAATTTTCCCAGAACTGGAACTGTACCAAAAGATGCCAGAGCATCAAAAGTGTGGAAGAGATCATGGAAACCTATGCTGCCATGGACCTGTACAAAAAGGAAGTTCCAGATGCAACTGGAAGTCCAAGTAGGGACATCCAACTCCAGGACAGAAGAGCACGTTCCCATCCCCCAGTCCCGGGTCCTCCCTCTCTGGTAGAAGAAACAGCCAAGTACAAACACAGTGATGTGTACATTAAGTGAGAGGCAAGGGGGAGGCCGGGACCGACTCTGCTGGCACAGCCTGCTAAGGCCCCCCCCCCCCCAAATCCCAACCGAGGCCAGGTGTCTAGCATACTGCCCCACTGTTTCCCCAGCCAAAAGACATGGAAGGCTGCTTGAAAATCGACATTCTTTACCACAGGCCATTAACTTTAGGCAAAACATATTTATGTTCCTCCGTTTTTCAACAAATAGAAATTTTCTGTGAGTTGTTCACCCTGCCCACCCCCACCCACCCATCCATCCCCAGAGCCCTGGTGGAAGGGAGCTGTCATTCTGATGGAAACCACTAATGAGACACATGGCGGGGGTCAGAGGGTGTCCGAAGTTAAACAGAGGAACACTGTTGGTAAAATTCAATAGGTCCATCTTGTTTGGGAGGACAGTTTGGCACTATCAAAATGGACCCAGCAATATCACTTTGTCAAATTATCCTACACGTATGCTCCCTGGCATGTGTCCAAGTTTGAACAATACTGCATTATTTAGGAAACTTTTTTTTGTTCTAAACTGGAAATGACTTCAACGGCCATTTATAGGGTACAAGTGAAGGGGTCCTCTAAGATGCCAAACTTCTCAGTGTTGTGTGAGAGAGCAAAATTCAAAGCAGCCTGTACATTGTAATCCATGCAGGAAAGCACGTATGGTCCATGTTGTTAAATATAGTATCGGTATGTCATTCTGATAGCAGGAATAACTTCCGTCATGTATCAGGAATGCCTGTAAAACCCTGGGGCTGGGGTGGGGGGTTGACCGAGCGGGTCCCAGGGACAAATCTGTTCCTCTGAAAGGTTTGCTTGGTTTTAGATTTAAATTTGAATATCTTAGGAGGGTGTCACCTGCCATTCCCGTTAAGCACCTCCTCACCCACACCCTCCTCTCTCCTGGTACTTGGCCCCGAAATATACATAAAAACTGACGGAGGAGGAGGGCTGAATGGTTGCTTAGTCCTCACTTTCCATTCTATGCGGCTAGCAAACGTTTCTTTCATACCTCAAGGGAGGGTAGGGCTTGGACCCAGATCTTTCCTGGCAGGGAAAGGGTTGGGGTAGGAGTGGGAACTGCAAGCCAGTAGGGAAGGAAGAGGCCCTGGTTTGGAAGCCGTGGCTATCGTTCAGATAGCAGTCAGGGAAGCCAGGACAAATGAAGCCACATTTGAAACTTCTTTCATTCCGCTCTCAGCCACTGCAATAAGAGAATGTCCCAGTGTCTTGTCTTCCTTCTCCACGAAAACTGCAGTCTGCGCTTCGTCACCTGAGCTGCTGGGCAACTGTCTAGTGTACAGAGGAAGAAGAACTGGTCCTAACAATCCTGGAGGGTCTCACTCTCTGGTGCCTCTGACTTAATTCCTCCTTCTTGACTGTGTTGGCACCAGATGTATAGGAAACAGGGGTGGTCCCAGCCAAGGCACCATGGAAATCAAACTGGAACATCCTTGAGCCAAGGTCTCCAGAAGATTGGTGCTATCTTGGCACATGCTGCCCACCACAAAGGATTGATGGTTTCCACAGTTAAAAAACCTTTGAGTCTGCAAAAGCTCAGGAGAAGAACAAAGGACATTTCCAAATGAAACATGTTCTGGTTTTTGGCAGCAGCTAGACAGACTGGCATGAGAGTTCCCAAGCTATGCCATACTGTTTCATCTACTGGATGTTCTTCAGCAGAATAAAATGATTTATTTGAAAAAGTTTTGCTGAAGGAAGGTGGGTAATTCAGAGTCATCTCTTCTGTGGTAGTGTTGTGGAACAGTTTCCTTCAAGATTAAAATATTCAATGCTGCAGTATAGGGAAGTTCCTCAAGCAGAAAGGGAAACAAAACAGCTTCAGGAAGTCCCTGAAACGGACCAGATTCGCCGGGCCACTTCTCTGCTATAGTAAGCAGTAAAAGCTGAGAGTTCCTCTCAGAGGAGCAGAATTGAGCTGCTAAGAAGACCCCAGACAAGTCAGGATGCCTGGAAGAACTTTAGTCCAACCTGTTGAGCTGCCTGCAGGCCATGCAGTGTGCTCCAGGTTCCCAGCTTTTGCAAGCTATCAGCCATACTGGGGTGGGCTTGGTGATGCAGCTGTCTTTGAGTCATTTCTGCTTCTGTAAGTGACCCCTCAACCCCACTCCTATAAGTAACCCCAATAAAACTCATTGGTTCACCAAGTTGGAGTTTGGTGGTATCTGTACTTTGGTCTGACATGGGATCCCTATTTGGGATGAGTAGACAGCAATATACAACAGGTATAAGGAATGGAGAATGTACCATGAGGCTGAAGTGAAGAAAGTAGTCTGTGAAGGAAATAAAATCCACATTTCCCTATCATTTTGGCTTGGTTTCTTAGAAAAAGAAAAGGACAAAAAGAGAGTCTGCGGGCATAGAAGCAGCTGGGTTACGAGCCATTTACCACCCTTCTACCTTTATTTCTGTCGGGGATGTGCAAGTCCTTCAAGGCAAACCTGAAAGGTCCATCATCTGATGACTGGATAAACAAGTCTGGACCATAAGTCTCAACAAATTTTGAAACTCATATGACCCATTCAAAAACTGCGATAGAAACAAATTATAAATTCATTATAGAACAATATATTGGAATCCTTAAATTTTTAGAAATTAAAAGAATAAATTTCTAAGTAATCCATGGCTCAAATAATATATCCACTGGACTAGAAATGGGAGCATAGAGGGCAGGCTTGTAGGGTGTAGCCTGCACTGTGCTATCATGGCAGTTTGGATAATAAATGATTCAAGAGGACATGTTTCAAACAAAAAAATACCCACCTCTGCCTAGAGAAACGCGAGCAGAAACCAGGTAAACCCAGAGTAAATAGAAAAAAGGAAATGTAGCGAGCAGAAGTAACAAAACAGAAAGCCAATATTTAAAAAAAAAAAACAATGAAAATAAAAGTTAATTCTTTTTTTAAAAAATCAATACAATTAAAAAGCTAGAGAGAGAGAAAAAAAAAGAAGAAAAATTACCAGTATCCAGAAGGGAATTAGAAAGAATCCTTAAATAAAAAGGAAATGTTATATCAATACATCTAATAACTTCAATGAAATTGATCCCTTTAATCCAAACTATCAAGCCCATTGAGTAGGGAGGATGAGGCTCCCCGTATCTCTTCAATGAACTGGACTCAGTGTTCAAACCCTTCCTGTGAAGAAAATCCCAGTGACCTTACTACACCCTTCTGAATATCTCAGGAAGAAATAGCCCCGTCTTCGGTCTCCTAGAACCAGAAGGGGCCACTTTCCAGCTTATTTTATGAGGCCAGCATTATTTGGTTGCTGAACAGGCAAAGGCAATACAAGAAAACTACACACCAATGAATCCACAAAATCCATTTGCAGAAATTCTTAATACATTTTTTGGCAAAGTAAACCTGGCAATACATAAAATGGATGACACATTATAACTAAATGGAGTTTGTTACAGAAATGCCAAAAATCATTTTAATATTCAGAAGCCAATTAATGTAATTCACCACATTAAAAGATTAAAAGTGAAGAGTCATCTCACTAGATTTAGAAAAGCATTTGGCAAAATTCAAACTCCATTCTTGATTAAGCTCTCTCAGCAAACTAGGACCAGAATGGATCCTCTCAAATTTAACAAGGGCTCAAAAACTTACAGCCGGCATCACTCCCAGGGTCTCTCCCCGAGTACAGCAAGCAAGAGAAGGGGCCTTTCTCACCCCTTTCTTCCACATTGTTCTGGAAGCCTTAGCCAGAAAAATAAGGTAACAAAAAGAAAAAAGACCACAGAGATTGCAAAGGAAGAGATTGAACCATGTCCGTGTATACGCATGACTGTATGCGTTGAAAATCCCAAAGAATCCACACAGAAGCTACCAGAAGCAATCGGTCTGGTAAGGTTGTGACACCCAAGGTTAGTAAATAAGATCAGCGGCACACATCTGCTTACCAGTGAGAGCCAGTTGAAAACTGTACTTCCAAAACACCATTTACAGTAGCATTCAAAACTATTAAATGCTTATGGATAATTTAAATACACGAAACAATCAACACTCTAAAGAGAAATCAATTATCTAAGTAAGTAGAGAGCTGTTCCAAGCACCTAGACTGGAAGACTCAATTTTTTCAAGGATCATTTGTCTTCAAACTAATGTGTAGATTCAATAAAAATCACAAGAATCTGAAGTGTTTTGTAGCAGAAAATAGCAAACTGATGTAAAGTTTATGTGAAATGCAAAAACCAATGGTACACCTGTAGTTCCAGCACCCCGGAAGGGGGATCCAGCACCCCGGCAGGGGGATCATGAATTTCGGGCGAGCCTGAGCTACATAGTGAGTTTCAAGCCAACCTAGGCTATAAAGACCCAGTCTCAAAAACAAACAAGCAAGTGATCAGCTCAAACTAGAAATGCAAAGGTAAAGATAGTCAAATTTTAAAAATAAAGAATAAAGTCCCAGGATATCAACTCCCTATCTTGAAATTTATTTTTTTCATGTAATATATTTTGATCACATTCTTTCCCCTTTAAATTACCCATTTGAAGACTCGCTGTAGCTGTGGAAACCTTGCAGAGGTGATGCTTGTATAAAAACAGACACATAGGGCAGTGTCTCAATAAAGAGCCCAGAAATCACTCTAAAGAGGCATGACCATCTGATCACCAGAGAGACCCAGAATAAAAAGATAATGTTACACAAAATGGAACAACTGGGTGTGCACGTGAAAAAAATGAAAACCCTTGAACCCTTACGTCATTTACACACTTAATTCAAGATAAATCATAGGCAACATTAAATACACTCAGAATGAATCACAGAGCTAAATATAAGAACCAAGGGCTCTAGAAGAAAATTCTCAGCGGGCTTTGACTAGGCAAAGCTTTTTAACTAGAACATAGAAATAATTAAAAAAAAAAACCTTCTATTGCACCTTTTAATTCTATAATTTCTATTTTTTATAAGGTGACTTCTCTATCAGTCTTTTCGTTGCTAATAAAGAAACAAGAGAAGGGGGACTATGCCATTTCTTCTGCCTACAGGGTCCGAGGTGGACTCCCACACAGCCAGCTCAGGGCACTGGGATGGACCCACTAAAGACAAGGTGTCTCCATCTATTGGTTGCTCTTTCCTCTGGGTCGCCTTCCTTCTTGGGCCGCTTGGCCCCTTGGGATGCTATGGCAGAGCAGCCTACTGATTGACAACCCCAGAGAGAGACAGAGCTGAGTTCTGCACCAACTCTTCATATCCCAGCTTGGGCAAGTGGCCCTCTCTGAACACGATGCTGATGGCCAGGCCGAGGCTGGGGCTTGTCCACGGAGCAGAGGAGGGAGAGAGAAGAACCGGCAACTGTGGAGCAGGGCACAAATGGAGGAAAAAGAGGGCTTGTGGCCAGGCAAGTGGAAGCAGCTGGTGCCTACTAGAAGGTACTACTTTCCAAATCGGAAAATGGTACTACTTTCCAAATGGGAAAATAAAGCTGTTGTTTAGAACGACTGAGCATAAGGGAATAGTCTCTTGGCATCTCCAAGAACATAGCATGAAGGAGGAGGGAGGTGTCCGTCTGACCCCATGGACCAGCACTCTTGGGGATGTGCAGGTGAAGGGAGATGTCATGTGAGGGTACCTCTTCTCTTCTGTCTGGAACAGAAGGTAATTTCCCGGAAAGAGGTCAAAACAAGATTAAGCTGTATTTCGAATAGTCCATTGAGGGAAATGCCACAGGAAGTTAGCTAGGTGTAAATAAAGGACCTCTGGGCCAACTTCCGGGAGGGTCACCAGTGGGGTCCCTTCGTGGGCCATCATTTCTTGTGCCACCTGTCTGTCCTCAAGCACCAGGATGAAACTACTGTGCTTCCAAAGGTCAGACCTATTTTGCTTGATGATAAATCATTTGAAACACATTCATATTAATACAAATAGGAATTCATTACGAAGTCAAATATAAGCATTACATGAATTTTAAGATCAAATGCAAATTTCATGCTCACAATAATCCCTTAAAAATTGCTTTTTGCTACCTCTTCATGCAAATGCAGCTCTCTCCTCTGCCGTTAGGAAGATTTTGGTAGAAACATTTGCAAAGTACCTCTTCAAAGAATAAGGACTGGGAATCAGTAATGTTCTTGGATTTTTTTTTTTCCCCCAGTGTCCAGACACTTGGGCAGAAGAAGCCAGGCACGTATTCCAAGTGGAAGGATTACTGAGGACAGCACGGACATCTGGCTGGGTTGGCAGAATCAGTGCGAGCACAGACATGAGGGACTGGGGCTTGGGGCTGCTCATGCAGGCCTGGGAGCAGCTGCATTCCTGGGTGACATTTCACATGGAAAGTATGGGAGCCTGCCCTGGCCTGGGGTCTGCATGAGTGTCTCTTGGTAGAAGAAGGAACCTGGTGTTCTCAGAGAGGCAGCTGGGGATCAGAGAAAGTTCATCTAAGAACAACCCACTCCAGCAAGCTGGCCGTTAGCTTCAGAGTCAGTGAGCAAAAGAGATGGAGCCCAGACAGAGGTCTTGAGTTCACAGGGTTGATAAGACAACAGAGCTCCATCGAGAGGGAGGGAGGGAGGGAGGGAGGAAGGGAGGAAGGAAGGAAAGAAGAAAGGAAAGAAGAAAGGAAGGAAGGGAGGGAGAGAGGGAGGGAGGGAGGAAGGAAGGAAAGAAGAAAGGAAGGAAGAAAGGAAGGGAGGGAGGGAGGGAGGGAGGAAGGAAGGAAGGAAGGAAGGAAGGAAGGACAAAGATGAAATAGAACTGATTGCCCTCCCCCTAAGAACAACAGTGTCTATAAGCTAGCCTTCATTTTTATATTTTCATGGAGACTACCAAAAACATCTTTATGAGAGGCCACATTATTCAGAAGGACTAAGAGTCAGTGGTGGGCAGGGTAGTTCCCCATGTTCAGAGTGATGTGAAAATGACTTTAGGGCAGTTGGGGGATGGCTTGGGAAGAGCTCCTCAATAGATGTGGTGAGTTCTAGCCCAGAATCAATAGTGGGGTTTGAGATCCCAGGCCAGGGAGGCAGAGGCAGGCAGAGCCCTGGGCAGACAGTCAGAGACCTTGTCTCAAAAATAAAGGGGGACGAAGGGGGTGGGTGGCTCCTGAGGAACACAACAAGG